AATAATAATATAATATATTGTATATAATCAGTGTTCGAACTATACCGTGGACTTTGGGGGAGCCCACTTGTTTTCGTGCGCTTGCGCGTGCCTCAAAAGAGGGCTTACAATGACTTACAAAACAAAGCATCAGGCTGTCTTTGAGTTCACATGAACAACAGTTAAAGTTACTCCTCGTCAGGCTACAGAAGAATACCATAATTCCTCCGTTCAATTAGGCCTAAGACATCGACCTTCACTGGTATGTTTTACCCAACCCAACATCTGCCCACAGAAATCTTTCAATTAGTGAGGGTGCCAGATTTATCTAGAGTTTTTCTTTTAGCGCAGAAAGAGGAAGAGAGAAAATGTTTTTATATAAAACTTGGAATAAAAATGAAAATGTAAAATTAATATATAAATATATATAGTAATACAATTTTTCTTATAAAGTCTTAAAAATTTATCATATTTTTCTTACTGCATTATATTATATATATTTATACTACATAATAATAATATAATATATTGTATATAATCAGTGTTCGAACTATACCGTGGACTTTGGGGGAGCCCACTTGTTTTCGTGCGCTTGCGCGTGCCTCAAAAGAGGGCTTACAATGACTTACAAAACAAAGCATCAGGCTGTCTTTCCCTGTATATAATTTTATATTTTGTAAATATATGCGTGTGTGTGTGTGTGTATGTATATTTCTCTTTTTGACCCACAGAAACCTCAGGACAGGATTTCCTCAAGACCAATTGGTCAACTAGTCATTGAGCCAACCTATCACCTGTGAGATATGTATGTGTATGTGTGTGTAATAATAATAATATATTATATATAATTTTCTTATTAATTATATATAAAACTGCATCATATAATATATTTATATATAATTTATAAAAATGTATATATTGTATGTACATATGTTTATAAAACAATTATATTTTTCAGGGTCAAGTTAATGCAAATGCAATCTAATTATACAGGTTCTCCACAAGACCAATTAGTCAAATAGTCATTGAACCAAGCCACCGACTAGTTGATTTTGAACATATAAAATTTTGCACATCCATTTATAGTTTAATTTCAGTCCAGGTTTTAATGGCTGATTTTACATTTGGGCTTGGAAATTCTTTGCTTAGGTGGTACAAAAGTACTTATTCACAAAAGTAAAGTATCCCCAAAAAGTTGCTAAAATAGACTGATGATGAAAATGAGCCAATTTTGCCATTTTCAGAAAATCCCACATTTTTCTGAGGTTTAATCCACTTCCCATTATGTACAGCCAACATCCCCATTTCCACAGGCAATGGAACAGTTTCAGTTTCAGGAAGAATGAGCACAAGAAACCAAACAAGAAATCCAGAACTGAATGACCAAATAATACACAAATGGTGTGGACCAACCGAAATCTGCTGACTCTTCTGCACCGATTTCATCAAATATGTTAATCAAGACAAATTAGTCAAAACACCAACATGCGAGAAACAGAAGATTCTATTTTCCTGCAGTGTTTCCGCTGGGCACAGATTGCGTGTGGGCTTGGGTTAAAGCCATGTTTAAGAAGGCAGCGCAGTGGCCCACGAGAGGTGAGAGGTCATCTGTGTCTCACGTCTCTTTAATCAAAAAGGCTGAAGAGCAGACAATTTGAGCCGGCAGAGTTGTGACTGTGGTATTAAAGAGCAGTCGGCAATTACACAAAGTGCAGTACAAAAAGGGAATAGACACACCTCCATCTATTTTGCTCTCTTTGAGTCAACACAGGCCAGGTAGAGTGCAGCACTACAGCCAAACACCCAGACAAACAAAGACTCACAATGCTTTTTAGACAGACACAAACACGCTAGACAGACAAAGCCAGAACAGAAAAATGTGACCCCGGACCACAAAACAAGTCATAAGGGTAAATTTTTTTAAATTGAGATTTATACATTATCTGAAGGCTGAATGAATAAGCTTTCCATTGATGTGTGTTAGGATAGAACAAAATTTGGCTGAGATACAACTATTTGAAAATCTGGAATCTGAGGGTACAAAAAAATATTGAGAAAAACGCCTTTAAAGTTGTCCAAATGAAGTACTTGGCAATGCATATCACTAATCAAAAATTTAAGTTTTGATATATTTACGGTAGGAAATTTACTAAATATCTTCATGGAACATTATCTTTACTTAACATTCTAATGATTTTTAGCATAAAAGAAAAATCTATAAAAGAAAAATCTATAATTTTGACCCATACAATGTATTGTTGGCGATTGCTGCAAATATACCCGTATGACTAGTTTTGTGCTCCAGGGTCACAAATGACTTGAAACAACGAATTAGCCATGAGCAATTCCAATAGCGACGTGCCTTTAGGATGAAGATTCATTTCAGACAAAATCAAACCGATAGGCATCTTTCTCCTGTCTGTGGGACTCAGCAGGTTTGAGAGCCTTCGAGGGTTCAGATGCATCTTCTGAAACACTCTCTTGTTTCTAACTCTCGCTCCAGACTTCCCACCTCGCCGTCTCAGGACGAGGATCGAGATAAACAGCTGAAACAATCGGGTGCCCACTTTAATCCTCTGCCAATCCTGTTTGCCAGAATAAACAGCCCATCGAGGCCACAAACAAATACGAGAGCAGAACAGATATGGAAGAGCAGAGAGTGTACAAGAAAAAAAAGAAAAGAAAAGGTGACCGGCGCTGGGGTCACCCAAGCCACACTCTATTATTATTGCAACCAGCTACGTTCGAATGAATCGAGCGGCACAGGGCGCTTCCTGCAGCAGAGCCGGCTTCAAACAAGCTGATGGCTCTACAGGGAGCATTTCGGAGCAGACGACACCGAAAGACGGACACACTTCACACTACCGAGGCAGGATGGCATCGAGCCACTCTGCTGACATGCACACATTTACTGGACATTAATACTCCTGCCAAACTGCAACAACTCGAAGGTAAAGCTGTCTGAGAAGCAAGTCCTGCTGCAAATATCAGCTGTTGATTAGTGCTGGAGGGATTATAACGTGCACTCTAGACTGCGGGCTTAAATACGACCACAGAAGAATAGAATTATCACATTAGACACAGATAGAGCAACAAGTCTGTGGGGATTTTAGCGAGAGACTAAATGAGATGGAACATCGCTCCAGGCTCTCTGTAGTTTACATTACACCTGGATTAGAAAGCTAAATTAACACCTCTGCAATTAAAAAGAAGCGTACCACATGGAAGCCAAATGGTGATGTTAGTATTAGCCTGCAGTGAAAATCTGTTCCTGCCTGCATGTTTTTACATTATCCAGATATACATGAACACAATTAGGATGATTTTGTCTTCAATGAGGAGAAAGCTGTTCAGACACAGCTACTGATGACAGAGAGATTTCTAATTAGATTAGGCAAATCTATGTTTGAGAGAATTATGTTAATGAGATGATACATGATAATTAGTATCAAATAATCGTAAAAAAAAAAACGAGGCAGACTGATGAGGGAGTGTAGCGCTTTCACCGAGGTGGGGCGTTTAAGGTATTCTGTGTGAATTAATTAGAAACACTTTAATGTTTTATACACTCTGGCTGTGAGAGAGATGCCTAGAAGGCATTCCTAGATATGCGCATCATACATTTTGAATAACATAAACATCAATATACCCAAAAAAATGCAGTCTAGGTATGGAGCCAACTAGATTTTAAGACACAACCATAGTGATCCATCCATCCATACAGTTTTGTTCTCAAGTGGTGTGCACAACTGTCATTGCAAAAACATTTGCTTTTTGACCAAATAGTTGAGTTTTAGAAGCTGATACTCCATAAAAAGAGAAAACGTAACTATAAAGAGCTATTTTTAGCTGATCTGACCCTACTCTCACTCATGTTACCTAATGTAGTCACTGTCCGCACAATGCAAGGAATGGAGGGTCTGTCAGCAAAGCCGCAGGCAAAGACTCAGAGCAGGAGCATCATGTCCAGATAGATAACCCAGCACTTCGAGCTACAAACTGAATGGAGGATGTTACGAATCCACAAAATCAAAATCAATAAAATATGTTGGTTTTAAACTGCCACTAAAGATTTTTTATTTCCAAGGTGTCAGTGAGGACAAAATTCTTTGGTGCTTTTTGTGTCACTGTTTGGAAAATCTGCTTAAAACAAGTCACATTTGACAAATGATATATAAAAGGAATTTATATGAATTGACTATTATATTACATAATAACATAGTTTACACTACATTTTTAGAACATATTAATGAAATAATACTGAAATCAAATTTACGGAAAAATAAAATCAACTGAGCTGTAATAAATGAAAATTCATAAACCTAAGGGGTTAAGCACTATTGCAACCCAAGTAAAAAAAAAGTAAATACATTTTAAGACATGTTGAATATTGGACGTTTCAAGTCAGGATATTCCAGTCTATATTTTGACTTCGATTAGTTCATTTATGTTATCAAATAAAACGCATTTTAATTTACCTAAAACATTTGTATATTTTTTATTATAAAATTGCTCGATAAGAAGAAATACGGCGTATTTAATAAAAAAACAGACGCTTTTACACGATACCCATAGCGACGAAACCGGATTATAGATCATACATCCATTCACTCTTCATAAAGGTCACGAAGAGATCATTCTCACCAACAATATGACATGAACGTGATCCGAAAGCAACGCCTATTCCGCCGATATACACAATTGCAATGGCAACAACTTAATGGGAGTTTTAACAGACAGCGATCAGTCACACGAGATACATAAGTATCCAACAAAACGGCATCTTACGCGCCGCGCGCGATTGTCACATTCTCATCCGCGGAATACAGTCATGACAACAAGAGCTACATCTCATCACATCACAAACAAAACCCCCAGCCCGCGTTGTTCTGTGAACGCAGAAACACCCCTAAACACTGGGTCTGGGGATCAGGCATAATTTCCGACCGAGAACGGGCCCGTTATGACGGCGGACCGCGAGGAATGAATGGAGCGCGGTGAACGGGGAAATTCCGCCTTACCGGTTGCTGTTTGTGTCGATTGGACGCTCTCCCCAGCGGCGGCTGCTGATGCCTCCTCTGGACGCCGCTCTTCTGGTACTCGCTGTAGGCGTTGTTGATGCCGATCCGGTCCCTCTTCTCTCTGCCGTTGTCTTTTCGCTCTTCTCCGGTGTCCAGACTGCTGAAGTTCCACACGATGAGCGTTTGGACCAGCAGCACAGTCAGCGCGGCGATTAACGCTGACCGCGACCGGCGAGCCAGCTTACGGGCGCACAGACCGCCGTACATCTTCACCCTGAAGCGGCGAGGTGCCTCTGCCGTGCGCCTGACGGTCCACTTTGTGGCTCAGCGTCGCGAGACAAGCGCGGAGAGGGAGGGAGAGAGAGGCGGTTGGCAAGGTCTCCGCTTTCGGAGAGAAGATGAAGAGAGAGAGAGAGAGAGAGAGAGAGACGGGGGGGGGGGGGATTAGATATGGTCTGCGCCCCCTCGTGGTGACACAGGTAAACTAAACGGGGGTACACGAAATGGGCGCCTTTCCATTTTGGAAAGGTGATTTTTTTCATCTTTAGTAAACATTTTATCTGGCAAACAATTACTAAATTGTTGTGTTAGTTCATTTGGACATTTTGATATACGTTGAGGGTAGCCGTGACTTTAAAAAAGCAACTGGTTGAGGAGAACAAGGTTGGCAAATTTACAGTTCATTACCAGTCGTGCGCTCAAGGCAAGGTCATCATACTACAGGGTACTTATTAGAAAGATAATTTATATATTTATTCCTTTATATATAGCCTACTATATCTTACATACAGTGGTGGACAAAATTATTAGAACACTAGTATTTCCAGCAGTTAAAAAATGGTTTTAAGTCAGTTGTTTCAATCTTTTGCTGTGTGTTAGTGGGAAATATCAGTTTACATTTCTAAACATTAATTTTGCCATTAATTGTAATAATCCAGTGAGATTTTTGTCTGACAACAGCCAGTGCTCCACACAGAGATCTGATCTGATCATCACCAGTCTGTCTGGAATGACATGAAGAAACAGAACAAACTGAGACAGACTCAATCCAGAAGAACTGCGGCAACGTGTCCAAGATGCTTCAAGAAACCTGCCTGCAAAGCTTCCTGAAAAACTCTGCTGAAGTGCACCTAGAGAAAACGCTGCTTTAAACGCAAAGGATGCTCACACCAAATGTTGATTTAATTTAGTTAATAGACGTTAATTGATAAAGAAAATCTATTTATGACATTATTTTTGACAGCATCCTCATTTTACAGCATTTTCACACAAGTGCCTAAAACTTTTAACAGTACTGTAGCTTTGCAGGTTTCTTGAAGCATCTTGGAGACGTTGCCACAGTTCTTCTGGATTTAGTCTGTCTCAGTTTGTTCTGTTTATTTTTTTATTGTATATATATTTATTTATTATTTTTTTGTTCATTATATTTATTTTGTATTTATTAATTTATTATTATTGCATTTTTTTTTCTTCTCACCCAGATCAATCAACGACATAAAAACAGGCTATAATAAAACCCTATGCACAATACTTTTTTGTTTTTTTCATTCCTGTTCAAGTATTATTTTATGTTTTGTAATACCTGCCACCAAATAAGGTTGCATGGTGCAATAAAAAAAGAAAGACAAATTAATGTTGATATTTCTACAAATATCTAGTTTCCAATGGTTCACTGATTTCAACAATGATAACTTACCTTCCTCTATAGACAAACCTAAGAAAATATATGATAAAGTGATAAAACATGATGGTCTTTTTAATGGACATTTTATTGGTATTAATTTAAAGAGAAGAAGTTATGATGATAACAGTGTTGTCACATTAAATATATGTAAATTTGATGTTTCTATTCAAATATGTCCACTAAAACTTATTTATAGAAATATATAGAGAGTAAATAAAAAATAATAGCTTTCATTTTGATTTTTGTTTCAAATAAAAGGTGTCACTGCTAATACAGCAAGGAGAAAGAAAGAAATATGAGTGGGAAAAGCCATATTAAATCAAATTAAAAAAAATTCTGGATTTTTGTAGATGTGTTATGAAAAAAATGCTTATAAAAACTGACATCAGATATTCATTATATCAGATATTTTACTGGCATCAGATATTCATTAAAAGTCTATTTTTACACATTCATATGTTAGGGAGGGACACCAAAAGCACCCATTTAGTGGAATGACCCATGTAAAGTTTTCGGAAGGGACCAGAAAAACCTTGCTTGCTCAAGAATAAATCTTTGTAAGACCTGCAAATCAGCATAAAACCAAAAAAATACCAAAACCACAAAATGCTGTAAATGTCCGTGTGAAACATCAGCAAGTTTCAAAACTCTGAGGTTCCCCTTTTTGGTGAGTCGCTTCAAATTGTGTGTGCAGCTGTATGAGCGGAGTACAGCCTCGGGGGTGAAGGTGAACAGCTACATCATCTTTCAACCAGCCTTTGTTATTGTTCACCGATCAATGGCTGCTAATTGATAGTGTTAACCTGTCAGATTTAGAAAAAGAGCGATAACCCCGGGGAGCCATCAAGATGACTTCCCAATACAATGGACCCAGGTGAAGCATCGCCTACAGTTTTTAATCAAGACTGAGACCATCTTTCATCCCGCATAGCGACTCGCACGATGGGGAGACACGGTTTCCATGGGGATACCCTCTGTGTCCCTCTTCCGCTCCTCTAGAAGTTCAGGACACAGAGAAATAAAGAGAGAGATACATGAGAATGCGATTCTGCTTAGAGCTAAGCGAGCGCTGCTGTTTGTTCACAGCATTCTTGACATCATTAAAGTTGAATCAGCTACTCCGACGCTGCTGCTCTATAATTCACAACTCTCTCATTGAGATGGAGATCACAAGGCTTTGATGAATTTGAAAGAAAGCACGGGGCACAGTCACACTTCATTCCCCTCAATTCCCTCGGGCAGCAGACGCTGAGGTGTGCAGTTATACGAAGGGGCTACGCATGACGACATTCGCTGTCAGTATAAGCATGTATGGGTGGTTTGATCTAGCAGAAGGGGAACTGAGGTAAGAAGTCAGGGAACATGTGCCCTTGGGCAGAGATTCTCTCCATATGCCTCCTCTGCAAGAACTTCTCACAGTCTCTACACCGATCTGTACAAAATGAGATGCTCTTAGAACTGATGGAATCAGTTTGCATGGCTTTCTAATTAAATACCTTCAGTGAACTTAAAATGTCAAGTTGACATGGCTAAAGTCTGTCATCACTGTAACATTAACCTTTTTAGGTTAAATACAGTGCACAAGATTTTTTTTCAAGTCTCTTAAGCTTACTAAGGCTGCATTTATTTGAACAGTAATATTTTAATATACAGTTACAATTTAAAATATATGCTTTCAATTTAAATATATTTTAAAATGTAGTTTATTCATGTGATGCAAAGCTGAATTTTCAGCACCATTACTCCAGTCTTCAGTGTCACATGATCCTTCAGAAATCATTCTGATATGATGATTTGATGCTTAAGAAACATTTCGTATTACTATCAATGTTAAAAACAGTTGTGCTGTTTAATATATTTGTGGAAACCACGAACAATCTTAAAGATTCCTTTTCAAATAGAAAGCTTAGATGATCATCATTTATTTGAAGTAGAAATATTTTGTAACAATGTACTGTCACAAAAACATGCACGAAATACCTTAAACTTGTATACATGAAACACCATTCTCCTCTGCTCCAGGGCTCACAACTGCAAAAAACAAAACAAAAACAAAAACAATGTCAACAGTTTGCCAGTGTCAACTTTTTACAAGATTTCAAACTGCTATAAAAAGTGTTTCATTACACATCATGCAGAGCAAAGTGTTTGCAGACTTAAACGACTGACAGCATCACAAGAATATTCAGCACATCAAGACAAAAACTGAAATACTGAAATGACACCCACACAGACTTCGAGACTTGTTACATGAAACACATGAAGCATGACATTTACCTGATCATTTTGAGTAGAGAATCAAACTCATTCTGAAATCACAAGACAACAAGTTACTATAGTGACAACAAGATCAAAAACATAGTAAATAAAACTAGCAAACAGCCAAACAATACACCACATTAATTATTCATATCCTAGTGCATTCTGGGAAGAGGGCAATAGGGACTGGATATTTTTCAGTGTAGGCATATTTTAACTCAAAAAATGCATTAATTCAACTCATCTGCTATGCATTTTTGTTTGACTTCTGAATATATCATAACAGAAAAACAGCATTTAGATGCTGTATTTCTGTTCCTGAAAGTAAACACACAAAACAACTATAAAAATGAGGTAAATCTTTGACTATTTGTGCATTATTTGCTTGATCTAAAAATATTTTTCAAAGAAATGCTGTCTCTTTTTTGTCTGCCTGTCTGTTGATAGTGACAAACACGTCCTCCTTGTATTGACAGGCTGATCATCTGGGCCTGCTGGGTTGTAAAGCACATCTGTTTCAGTTCCACCAGTGGTTAGCGAAGCATCTTCTGAATTCTCTGAGCTCGGAGGGACTGCAGTACGCACACAGTTAGCGCACATCCTCAGACCTCCACTTCATTCACTCTCTTAAGACCGTGGAGAGCATTCGAATTGGTCACGCCGATAAGAGCACCGCTGTGAATAAATCCATGGATCAGTGAATCCCTCCCTGAAAAGGACATCAATAGTTTTGCATACTAAATCAATCACATATAATTTTCACCACCATCATCAGAAAAAAAAAAACATAAAGAGCAAAAGATCTAAGATTCAAGTACGGCTAGATAACAGAAATCTCCAAGCGAGTGCGACTGGGGTTTGTTTCTTGTTCTATCTCTGCACCATTTCAAGTATGACATCTTTGAATCCTCCCACTATGGTTCAGCCTCGGCTGACTCATTCACGATTTTAATTCCATACATCAGATCCACCGCTGAGCCACATCAGGACGAGCCGAGGTGAGTGACACATCATCAGGATGAACCTCTGACCCCTAGCACAGTCCCAGGGGAAAGAAACAGGGACACACTCATCACAGTCAACCATGAAACACTCAAGCATTCCCAAGCACGACATTTACTCGGATCGGAGTTAAATTGCCGTATTACGCAGAAATGAAGAGTAAATTAATCTCTCATGGAAAAAGGCCCATCGCAGCTCGGTCTGCCTGTTGTTTTTGCACCTTCCTCTCATCATGCGGGGTTTGATTTATGGTATCGCTCATTGAAAGTGGGAGATTGAAGTCATAGAGCGCTTCCCATCACGGCCCCACCACTGACCTTGACCTCAGACACCGCTGGGCTCTCATCTGTCACAGCGCTCGCATCTGTCAGTATCCAGGCTGCTGATACGGATCCTGTGCTTATAGACAGGGATCTTTTTTTATCCCGATTTATCGATTCGCTGAATAATTTATCATCGTTAATTTTCCCTGACAAATTGTTTCCTCTCTTGCTCAC